AATATAAGCAAAAATGGTTGATACATATATCTACAGTGGAATAAGTTACCATCTATTTTGTGCTGTTGAACAACAGAAAAAATTCAGATTGCGGGAGATTATGATTGCACATATTAATATTAATTATATGACAAGGAAATGGAAATTCTTAAATGATTTTTCAACATATAGCATATGGGCCAAAAAAATCGATTCAAAAAGAAATTGATATATATGTTTATTTAAAATAGTAGCAATTCAAGACAACTTTAAAAACCGAACAATACAATTTTTTTTTCTCTCTTTACTTACCATCTTTTCTTACATTTCCGTATTGAAAGGGCGATCGTTTGCAATTAAAAACATCATCACCTTTTAAAAGGACAAGAATATATTGAAATGTTTGAAAGCTCACTCGCATAAGTTCCTAGATAAATATCAATTGTTGTCAGAATTCCAAGAGGTATTGTGCTTGCCTTAGTTTCAGAATTGGGCAGATTCAGAACGCCATACCGAAACGTTTTTGTAAAGCAAAGATATGAAATTTCACTTATTCAAGTAATCAAACTTATATTTTTAATAGTTAAAAGTAATACGATTTATTTTCAGAAATTTTTAACATCTATATATATATGTATAAATGCTCTGTTTGTGTCTACTTCCTTCATAGACTTGAAAAGTTCTGAACCGTTTAAGCCCAAATTTTTACACAACATGCGTTGAGGTTCCAGCTGGGTTATTGTCTACTTTTGATGTTGATAGCTTATCTGCGTTTGTGAATATATCAGGTTTTTTTCGCGTTTCCCAGTGCCCCTACTGCTGCGCACTCTACAGGCAGCCAGCTGAATCGAAGCATTTGCTGTCAAACATTCAAAACATATTGAAAGAAGAAATTGGAGATTACAATTTTATTTTTTTGTTCAGGTTCAGTAAGAAACGAAGTCATGCCACCCAAGAAGTCGAGTTTGGGTCGTCGTACTCGCAATACAGAAGCAAAAAGACGTAAGATTACGAATATGACTGACGAAGAACGGGCCTCTATCCGAGAGACTGAGCGGCTGAGAGCAATGCAGATGCACAAAGCGGAATCAGCAGAAAGACGAGCAGATAGGCTAGAGAGAAAACGATTACGAGTTAGGCAGTCGCGTTCTGCAGCAATCGATTTGATTCACTCTCAAAATAATGAACGCGACAGGGCAAGGGTAGCTGAAGCTTGGATGCTCCAGGAGGAACGGGGAAAACATTCCTCATTACATTGATTCTGGCTACGGTTCGAGCTAACAAGGCCATAGCTTTAGCTCTTGCTTCATCTGGAATCGCTGCGACATTGTTACCTGGTGGGAGGAGTGCTCATTCAGCGCTGAAGTTGCCGTTGAACATGCAAATTATCGAGACTCCTACGTGCAACATTTCCAGAGCATCTGGCATGGGAAAAGTATTGCAAAGATGTAAACTCATAAACTCGATCATTGCGGGATTTGCATGGAGCTGCCCAACCATTTGGGAATGCGTTAATATTGCTCGCAGGGGATTTCAGGCAAACGTTGCCTGTGATTTCCCGATCGACACCAGCTGACGAGATAAATGCTTGCTTAAAATATTCTATATTGTGGCAACATGTACGTACATTACAGTTGAAGACGAATATGCGTGTCCAGTTACAGAACGATGACTCAGCCGACGTATTCTCACGACAGCTACTGGACACTGGGAACGGAAAGCTGCCAGTCAATGACGCGTAGAGAAAAATAGTATTGCCCGAGAATTTCTGTAATTTAGTTACATCGAAGGAAGGACCTATCCAAAAAGTGTTCCCCGATATCAGAATAAATTATAGGAATCACAATTGGCTCAGTGGACAAGCGATTCTTGCTGTCAAGAACAAAGATGTCTACCAGCTCAATCATGTAATTTAATCCAGCATAGAAACGACGAAATTACATATAAGTCGATAGATACCGTTGTGCAGGCAGAGGAAGCAGTTAATTACCCTACGGAATTTCTAAACTCACTGGATCTGCCTGGAATGCCACCACACATAGTGAAATTAAAAATAGGTGTGCCGATTATCATGCTCCGAAATATAAATCAGCCGAAACTCTGCAACGGTACGCGACTTGCAGTCAAGAAATTGATGAACAACGTAGTAGAAGCAACGATCATAACTGGTCCTTTCAAAGGTGAGGATGTCCTCATTCCTAGGATTCCTCTGATCCCGACTGATAAACCGTTCCAGTTCAAGAGATTTCCGTTTCTCATTCGTTTGGCGTTCGCAATGACCATTTATAAAGCTCAAGGTCAATCTATGGAGTTGTGTGGTCTAGATTTGGATGCAGATTGTTTTTCACACGGATAATTATATGTTGCGTGTTCCCGTGTCGGAAAACCAGATAGTCTTTATATTTACGCGGAGAATGGAAAAACGAAGAATATTGCATACCCACAAGTATTACAGAATTAAATGAATTTGAAAATTATTCTTTTTTGTTTGACTTATTTCTTATGCGTGCAACCACAATATGCAACAGAGAAACGTGGCAGGGTACAGCTAGTATTAAATAAATATTTACTGGATATTGATGTTCGGAGCGTTTGCAATTAAAAACATCATCACCATTGATAAGGGCAAGGATAAAATGGAATGTTTGCAAGCTCCACATCAATGTTGGCATAATTTCAAGTGATATTGAACTTGCTTTAGGTAGAAAGTTGAGCAAATTCAGATCGCCATACCAAAACTTTTCTGCAAAGCAAAAAATTTAATTAACTCAATCAAAGAGTCTTTCTTATTTCATATCGATCGAAGAGACTTCCTTACGAACCAGTATACTCGTCCATTATATGAAAATAAAGCACCTCGGTTATGCAATTAATTAATAAAAGCTTTTATAACTGTGTTCGTAGGGGGGCGATCCTTCCGCTATTCCGCAGATCCTGCAGGGGAAAATAGCTCCCGCGACTCAGTCGTAAAATAATATAGCATAATATAATTAAAAAGAGAAGTTGGGGGCGCCGTGGGGCTCGCTTCAGTGCGTCAGCTTTATTTCGCATCATACATTGCACTAACTAGCTTAGACTTAAGGGTTGCGCACTCGACCGATAAGCTAAACTTAACAGTGCGAGAGTGGGCCCGAGAAGTGAAGCGCGAACTATCCATCCCTCAGCTCGCTTAGTAGCGAGCGAAGCTCGGGACCGGGAATATCGACGAGACGAGAGCGGGAGCACGTAGATTAGCATGATGAGCAGTGCGCTGTCCTGCTGGAGTGCAAGAGCGACAAAGCTTTCGAAGCTCGGTGGACATAGGCGGCGCCGCGTCCGCCACGAAAGGCCTCCTGACGTGAACAAACTGATTAATCTTAATCAAACGATACAAATAGGATCAAGCCTATTATTCATACGTGGTGTAATGTATCATAAGCGTTCAGCAGAACACACTAGATCTTTGATGACTGATCCAACTGATCTGTGAGAATGTTGTAATAAGAGCGTTATTTAAAAATAAATAATTTGTCCCCCAATGCAAGCGCTAGCCGCTAAGTATTGCTGTGACGTCATAAGCAAGTGAGCCGCCGCTTCGGCCCACTGGCTGTGGCCGTCCGAAACCTATGAAAAAGACTCTGCGAACAGAAATTTGCACACGCATACAAACGTGTGAGCGCTTGTACACATATGTATACACATATACAAAGAAACGAGAGCACAGCGCAAAGAAACGCACCCCTGCTCATCCTTACACAGCCGATCTGCCACTGAAAAGTGAATTCTTGTTGTGCTCGGTTTCAAAAGACTGCTTCGAACTCGAAAAAGCCGAATGCACTCTGGGGTTCTAGACATATCGTTCGGGTGCTCTGGAGTTCCAGGCTCAGCCGTTTTTGTGATAGCACTTTTAGGTACTGTTTGACTCCTCTATGTGTTTCTTGCTTAGTGCTATAACTCATAAAATTATAAAAGAAATTTTTAATTAAAATAGAGGTATACTTCGTAGTAGATTAAAATATGTCGATATTCATATAATTTTTATCAAAATTATTCTTATCGTTCCTTTGTAAACTATTTTATATGAAGGTCCAAAAATGTCCGACATAAAATCATCTGAACATTTAAGTTTTAATTTAATTTTGCCGACATATATTAAAATTAAATAAATAAATATGATGTAAGGAATACCCCAATATATGGGTCAATAAAATTAATAATAATTGTTATTTTTTTGTTTTAACTAATCTTTTTAAAAATGTATTAGGCTATACCAAGCTTATACTGCTTTCCCACACAGTTTATCCGTGTGGAACAGTTAGGGCTTTTTGCAGATGTGAAACTACGATTCCCACAGCGCTACATCTTCATCCTGTGTCCGATAACAGCTGATCGAACAGCTCTAGATCGTCCAAAATATAAAAAAGCTTGTTAAAATGGCTACTGCGGAATAAGTTAAATACTATTTTGGGCAGTTCAACAACAGAAAACATGCAGATTCCGGCATATATTTTAGACCTTATATTAAAATGCTTAGATGCTTAATGTATCTCCCACAGCAGTTGGTGGCTATGTTTATGGAAAGTGCGCCAAAAAATGTGAATAAGCACAATATCTCAAATACAGCGACTGCCGAATCTGACTGTTAGGGGAGTCCCTATAAAACAGAATGACTGAAATACTAAAAATACCGGTACTTAGCCAAAAAAGAAAACTACTGTTTTCATAAACAGCTGATTTAAAAAGCTGCCAGTGTCAGCTATCGAGGAAAACTCCTTAAAAAACATAGTTATTAGAGCTTTTTTAAACTAAGTTTTCTGTTGCCGATAGTTTAAATAATTCATTTATGCATTCGTATAGGGAATCCCCTATATGAATTCGGGTTTTATTCACAAAATGATGTTTAATTGGTATGTGCGGCGAGCAAACGCAGAAAACCCGTCACATTTATTTGTATTAGGTGGTTGGTTGGTGATGAACGAGTAATCTTTATTATAATCGTTTTTGTTTTTAACAAACAGCTGACCACCATTTTTACACGTCTGGCAGCTCTGTTAAAATGAATGCGTGAATGTGTTTTATTTTTGTCGTCGCTGTCACGTTGTCGACAGTACAACTGCGATCTTTTAATAATAATCGTAGTAAATTACTAGTAAGTAACGTTTGTATAACAAGTAAATAGTTTTTGAGGTATTCATCACCTGTTACTTATCGTTTAAATTGGAAGAAATCGAATAAGTGAGCATAACTAAGGACTTTGACCCCACGCAGTAACAACCGGTAATAACCTTAACAAATATTACTTATCCTTGACTTCCAGCATATCCCTAAATGAGTCAATTAAACTTGGTTTGGCTAATACATAGCAATAACTTTCAATGCCTTAGATATATTTCCCTAGTCCACGAGATGAGCTGTTATTTCAGTGATAAGAGTTAAATTCTTACCATGCTTAAGATTAGATCATTTAAGTGCAAATTCCAATGAGGTCAGGCATGATTTCAAAGGAAGAAATAATTTCTAATTTCTATTTACAGATATAATTCACAAAGTCATGGCCACCGTTGAGAAACTATCCACCGATCGAAAGGCTAATCCTATCAAGTCGTTTCTTACGGGTGGATTTGGTGGAATTTGCAATGTTTTGTCTGGTCATCCGCTAGACACAATAAAGGTAAATCATACTGTAAGTTTAGCAGTTTATTAACATTTAATGTCATAGGTACGTTTACAAACGATGCCACGACCGGCTCCTGGAGAGCAGCCTATGTATAAAGGCACCTTTGATTGCGCTGCGAAGACCATAAAAAACGAAGGCGTGCGTGGTTTGTACAAGGGTATGTCCGCCCCTTTGACTGGGGTTGCTCCTATTTTTGCAATGTGTTTTGCTGGCTACGCATTGGGGAAACGTCTCCAACAACGGGACGAAGATGCCAGGCTTTCATACCCTCAGATCTTTGTTGCCGGCTCGTTCTCTGGTCTGTTCTCCACTTTGATTATGGCCCCAGGAGAGCGCATCAAAGTGTTGCTGCAAACCCAGCAGGCGAAAGGGGGTCAGCGTAAATACAATGGAATGATTGACTGCGCTGGAAAGCTGTATAAAGAGGGAGGACTTCGCAGCATTTTTAAGGGGAGCTGTGCAACAATGTTAAGGGGTAAGTTTTTGTCCATATACAGTCGAGTCCCGATAATTCGAAATGGCAAGGGGATCACTTTTTTTACGAATTAGACGGGAATTCGATTTATCGAGATTTCTATTTAAAGGGGCTCAAAAATGAAAGAGTCGAATAAACGGGGTTTTTACATTTCACATCATGTTTACATATGTATTTAGCTTTATTAAAATTAAACAAACATAATAAATATGTATATTCGTTTGTACGTTTTTCAAATTAAAGGAAAATTAAACAAAAAATTAACAAACAAAATTAAGCAGAAACATTAAATTATTAAAAATGAAAATTCAAGATTTCAAATAATTGGTAATTTTTTATTGCTTCGTGTTTTTTTCTTATATTTTTTCCATTGCGTTTTCTAAACCTATTAGGTTGTCAAACACACTATTTGGCACATCATGAGTCGAAAAATAATGTTTAAGTTGAGGAATTAATGCTCTGGTTTGTAAATTCTATAAAATTTCTTCTCCGTTCTGATGCCTGCAAAATCTAACGTCGCTTTAACTACAAAATATTTCGCATCGCATTACGATTTATAAGAGGTTTCGAAACAAAATTACAATTTATAAGAGGTTCAATATTCTTTGCGTTGCGCCAAATACTACGAATTAATGAGGGGACCAAAATGTATGGAATTTTTACGAATTAACGAGTTTTTTTTCAAGGGGACAGAATTTTTTACGAATTATCGCGATTTTCGATTTAGCGGGGTACGAATTATCGGGATTCGACTGTACATCAAAAAATGAAACTAACGGTATATATATATATGTATATATATATGCAAAAATAACATTAGCCCTCTGCAAATATTATTAAAGTTGAAAACAAAAGCCAATGTAAGACAGATGGGATCAAATATTCGCTGCACCTTTCAGAAAAATTTCGTAGTTCAAATATAAATAAAAATTGACTTTCTGAGTCGATCTAGCTCTGTCCATCTTTCCAATTTACGCAAACTAGTCTCTCAGTTTTGAAGCCTTGCAGATAGTCTCCAATATACTTTAACTCGTATAAAAATTGGAACGGGCTGAATTGAAAAATTAAAATAGAGAAAAATATATTTTAGCTGTTTTTCAAGAAATGCCCAACTTTTTGTTTTTTAACATAAATAAATATAATTCATATTGCATTAATTATTAATTATTTAATTTTAATCTGCATGGGTATATATATATATACAAATCTAAATTTTATATTCCGTTCTGTTTCCTTTAAAGATCATCATAAGATTATAGTTAAATATTTAAATTTGAAATAAAAATTACTTTTTATAAAAAAAGGATTAAAAAATAATCATTATTTATGATTTGTACATATATTTTTTTGTAACTTTGAAAAGTAAATCACGCCTTCCCTAATAGACTTATCACTAATATTATCGTAAATTCTATATATATATTTTTACAGACGGGTAAAATTTCGGTTTTTGTTAATTTTGGAATTTAACCACGCCTTCTCGCCCATTTTCAAGTAAAAGTATTAAAAACTCGAGAACAGTTGGTAATTTCTTTATTATAAATAGTGGAAAATTTATTCAGATTCTTCTTAACGTATTTCAAAACAGTCTCCTTCATTACTTCGTTAGTTTCATCTTTTAACGAGCTATGCCAGGTGACTGCATCTCTTTCACTTAAGATTGGCTCACCAAAATGATCAATAACTTCGTATGGAAAACCATTTTTTGTTTTATTTTGCACCAGAGACACAGAGACTATAGAAAGTAATGGATCAGACTTTTCTATAGCCTCCAGGAAAAAATAAGTCATATTGTCAATATGGCTACATTTTCTGGCGTTACTTCAGTGTTTAGTTTTGAACAGTTTGTGCCTCGCTTTCCATGTACTTTTCGTAAAGGGCCAACTGGAACAATTAATATACTAAAATTTTGTGTGCTGCTCGGTACATAGGGTATCTTGAATAGCTCGAAAGTTTTAAAACAAAATAATTCGATTTTGACAAGGTTTGTTAATATGAAGTCCCATATCTTTCCGAAACGCGTTTTAAATTTCTTGTTTCCGTACCATCAGTTTTTCTTTATCTATTCCCTTGACGGGCCGCTTTTTTAGCTCGATTCTATTTGATAATTTTAATACGTATTCAAAAAAGCATGAAGGGACCTACTCCATATTTATCAGTATTTGGCTTTATGTCAAACGTATTGGAATATAAATTAGTTTTTTAAGGAGGTAGAACATCCTGAACGCATGTCAATTGGAGGATTTTTAAAAAATTCATTTTGACAAAGTTGTTAAGAATATAACTTTTTATTTATTAGTATATCAAAGTATATATGTTAAACTAAAAAATACTTGTTGAAAGAAAAAAAAGGATTTACGAATGGCGGAGATATAGCTAGTCAAAAAAGTCATTTTTTTAGGGAATGGTCGTATGGTGTATATGCTGCACACCACATTTGTTATCTGATTTTCAAAAACTAATTTTTTTTACAAACTATATAAGTATGGCTATAGTATGACGTAGCCGTTTTGGGAAGCAAAATTGTGAGCAAATGGGAGCACTGCATTATTTTTTGACGAAATTTTTGTTTTACAAACTTATAACTTTAAAAAAAATGTCATCGAAAAAATCCTACGTCATGCCATAGAGAAGGTTATAGAGAAGCTGTGTAAAAAATTTGAAAAGAATCGGTCCAGCAGTTTTTGAGAAATCATGTACACCGTTTTAAAAAATGTAGTTTTGAGAAAAACGCAAAAGAAGATAAAGAAAGTATTTTAAGGTATACCGGCAGAGCTCACTTCTAATGGCTGTAATATCCACAAATAATGAGATATTTTTAAGCCCAATGTCTTAAAATGACTGTAAGGATATCGCCATCAAAATTGTGTCAAAATGTCGCATGAAATTTGGAGGGTTTTTCAAAAATTCATTTTGACTAAGTTATTGGGAATACAACTTTTTATTTATTAGTACATCAAAGTACATATGTTAAACTAAAAAATACTTATTGAAAGAAAAAAAAATATTTACGAACCTCGGAGATATAGCCAGTCAAAAAACGATTTTTTTTTAGGGAATGGTCGGATGGTGTACATGCTGCACACCACATTTGTTATCCGAAATTCAAAAACAAAAATTTTTTATAAGCTATATAAGTATGGCTATAGCATGACGTAGCCGTTTTTGGAAATAATTTTTTTTGAGCAAATGGGAGCACTTTGAAAAAAAAATTTTTTTTTTTAACAAAATTTTTGATTTAAAAATTTATAACTTTAAAACAAAAAAACATATCGAAAAAATCCTACGTCATGCCATAGAGGGCATTATAGAGAAGCTGTGTAAAAAATTTGAAGAGAATCGGTCCGGCGGTTTTTGAGAAATCATGTACACCGTTTTAAAAAACGTTGTTTTGAGAAAAACGCAAAAGAAGATAAAGAAAGTACTCTACGGTATACCGGCAGCGCTCACTTCTAATGGCTGTAGAATCCACAAGTAACGAGATATTTTTAAGCCCGATGTCTTAAAATGACCGTAAGAATATCAGCATCAAGATTGATTAAAAAAAAAAAATTACATTTTTAAAAAATGTCAGGGTGGTCTACCCCCTTAAGGAATTTGGGTTGGGTTTGCTCTACACATTAGACACGACTGACAAGATTTCGTTCCTGTTACTAATTTTAACACCTTGCCGTCTACAAGGGACAAGTACCTTGTAAGAGTAAAAGTAAATATTGAGACTTTTAATATGATTGTACAAGTTTTCCTTTTCGTTTAAAATAAAAGATGCTGTTTCCCTAATATATACAATTTTATCGCCAAAATCTTGTGTATTGTGTCGATTTATTCAACCGAATAAATCTTAATTTTTATACCCTTGCAGGGTATTTCAATCAGAGTTTGCAACGAATATCGGAATGCAATGAATATCGGAATATTGGAACGATTAAGAAATTAATACAATTAAGAATTAGAACTTTTTCAGTTTTCAGCAGATTTTCATCAATTTGAGACATAGCCCTTTTATATAATTTTAGAATTTTGATTTCAATTTTATGAAAATCGGACGACTATATCATATAGCTGCCTTACAAACGATCGCTAGATATAGAGGGAAATGCAAAAAAAAAAAAGGAAGACTGTAAATATAATATTTTAAGGTGAATGAATTGAAATTTAAATCAGGCATTACTTCATTGTTTTTGTTCCATAAATATGTATAATTAATATTGTTATATTAAATCCTAATGATCGAAGTTCTATTTCCAAGGGTATATAAACTTCGGCGTGACGAAGTTAGCTTCTTTTCTTGTTTTATAATTAATCTATTGATTATTGCTTGTCAATTATTGTTTTTTAATTGTTCATTTATCTTGTTCTCTTATATGTATATCCGTTGTTGGTAAAAATTGCTCAATTTTCCGGTTAGTGTTTTAATAGTGGTGTTTTTGTTCTCTGCTACTTTCTCTGTTTTTTATCTGGGTGTAAGTTTTTTTACAAGTACTGTGTCGCCTGGTGAGTATTGAAGCGGTTGTTTTCTCTTTTGATTCTGATGTTCTAGATCTGTAATTTGTTTTGTTTTTTTTTTCTGTTTGTTTGTTTGTTCTTCCCTTTTTTCCTCAATGTCTTTTATTAAACTTGGTGTTGTGCTTCTGAAAAATTTGTCTATATGTAGGTCTGCCTTTCGTTACTAAGTGTGAGGACTTATTATATTCTTGAACTGACTTAAAAAGCAAGTCTATAAATGTCATGCTCTGGTTGTCTTTTTTGAGACATCGTATAATTTCGTATACTGGTCGGTGAATACGGAGCCGTGGTGTGTACTGATATCTTAAGTTGGTCTTTTAACATAAACCAAATTAATGACGAGCTTAGTGCTTGTTCATAATCCATTACTATTAATTTCGGCATATCGAAAGCAATAAGCATTTCTCTTAGTGGATTCTTTATGTCTTCAGATGCTCTCGACTCTAAAATTTGTACTTGAGCATCTTTAGAGAATTTATCAATACCTGTCAGTA